GCCCGCAGATCATCTTACGACTCCGAGCAGGTCATCCGAAACCTGTAACAGTCGTCACTTGCGGGCCTGCGCCAGGGCGAGAAAGAGAATGACGCAGAGGAGACAGAAAGGGCGCCTCACAAACATCAGGACGACGGTGAGGGTTCTTTCCAGATGCGCCGAGAGGATTCTCAGTTGGGGCCCTGCCATCGGAGCAATCATGTTCTCCCTGGAGTGGGAGTCGCAGTGACTCCCAGCTCGGGCAGGAGGCGCAGGTGGTGCGTCGTGCGCCACCCCGCCCGAGCATGCAGTTATCGAGCATGGACAGGGCCCATCGTGGCGCGCGCGCCCTCCCTCCCCGCCCTCCCTCCCTCCTCCTGCCGGGTCGCGGGGCCCCCCTGACGGCGGCAGCAGCTGGGAAGAGGGGCTACCGTACCGCCTTCCCACGCCGGGCGCGGTCTGCAGCGCCCCCGTCGGGCGCCTCCTGCAAGACGAGGGCGAGGGGGCAGCGAGCCAATCGGCCGGGTAAGGCCGACGGCGAGGCTTCTGAGTGTACAGACGAATCAGCCGTTCGCTCAACGAATGACTTCCTGGCAGCACGCCTTGGGCAACCCTGGGTGGGACTGGCCCAGGAGGGAAGCATCGGCCCCCAGTCGCCCATCTCTCGCCCATCAGGCCTTCGGCTTCGTCGTCGGGGGCTTGTTCCCGATCTGTCGGCGATGCATCGCTGATTCTATCTCGATGTTTCCCCCGCTGAGCTGGTGCCCCCGTGCAGTGGGGACGCGCACCAAGAAACCGCTTGTGTTCTGCCAGGGTGCCTCAGGTTTCCAGGTTTCACGATGTTTGCAACATGAAACTCACGCTGCCCTGGAAAAGTAAAGCAACTCGCGCGCGCGGTCCGTCTCTCCGCGCCCTCCACTCCCACTGCTCGCGCGGGGCGCCATGCGACCCGTGTTTTCCGCCGTCTGCCGCGGCCGGCTCAACGTTGAGATCCGGGGTCTGGGCGGGGAAACACTTGAAGACACAGTTGCATTACTCTTCTGGGGGGGGCAGAATCCCCATGCCATGAATCATAATCCTTGGACTTCAGGGTCTGGCTCTCTTTTGGGGGCTTCTTGTGGACGAAGTCCTACACTAACGTTCTCCCTCATCTCCCCCCCCCTCCCATGTTGCTTTCACCGCCCTGCCATCTCTTTCACCGCCCTGCCGCTGCTTGCGCCGCCCTGCCGCCGACTTCGATCGGGACGTGCGCCTGGGAGGCCCCTCCTGAGGGGCAGCGGATTCCTCCTCCTCTCCTGCCTTCTTGCCGTGGACAGCACCTCATCATGCCTTCTCCTCCTCCTCCTCCTCCTCCTCCTCCTCCTCCTCCTCTCCTGCCTTCTTGCCCCCCCGGCTAGGAAACCCTCATCATCACGGCGATCGATTTCCAGGGCGTCTCCGGCGCCGCTCCCGCGGGGAGCCCTGGGGGTTTGGCGGGCGCCGCGGCCGATGGCGGCGGCCCTTCCAGGATGAGGAGGAAGGTGGCAGCGGGAGGAGGAGGAGGAGGAGGAGGAGGAGGAGGAGGAGGAGGAGCAGGAGGAGCAGGAGGAGGAGGAGGAGGAGGAGGAGGAGGAGGAGGAGGAGGAGGAGGAGGAGGAGGACCAGTGTAAATCCAAGAGTCATCAACGATGTTGGAATTAAACCTCCCTCCAGGCTCCCTCTTCGTAGGCCCCCACAACGGGTCATTTCCACTGAGTGAACTGCCCCGTTGGAAGACAACCGTTTGAAGACCCTGAGGCATGCCAAAACATTGTTCTCGGGACTCCAACGCCATGGATCAGGGGGACTGCTGCGTCTTGACGATCCGGAATCGCGCCAGAACGCCATTTTGGAGACTTTCATTCTGCGAGCCAACATTCCAGTTGCGCCCGCATGATCCTGAATCCTTCCAAAACACAATTTCTGGTACGTTGCTCATGGGAATCCGTGAAATTCTTGACACGAATGTGCGCGGCGCTAAGGCGAGAGCCACATTGTGAAAAGGGACCGCTCCAATTCGTGAATATATATATATATATATATATATATATTCAGAGGCCAGCAACATATGTACACGTACGCGGTTAGCTTCCCCTGGAGGGCGTTTGAACGAGGACGTTCGTGCACTCAAGACCGCGGAGGGCGTACATGTACATATGTCGTTGCTCGCTCAATATATATATATATATATATATATATATATTCTTTTTTTAAACGAATGTGCGCGGCGCACAGGCGAGAGCCACGTTTTGAAAAGGACCCTCCTTCATTCCGTGAGAGGCTTGCAATTAAAACAAATGTGCGCGGCGCTAAGGCGAGAGCCACATTTTGTAAACGACCCGCCCTGAATCCGTGAAGCTCTTGCAAATTTTTGAAAAGAATGTTCGCGACGCTAAGGCGAGAGCCACATGTTGGAAACCACCTGCCTTCAATCCGTGAAGTTTTTGCGCATTTTTCAACAAGAATGCGCGCGGTGCTAGGGCGAGAGTCACATTTTGGAAACGACCTGCCCTGAATCCGTGAAGCTCTTACAATTTTTTAGAACGAATGTGCGCGGCGGTAAGGTGAGAGCCACATTTTGAAAACGACCCGCCCTCCATCTGTGAAACTGTTGTACATTTTTAAGCAAGAGAGTGCGCGGCGCTAAGGCGAGAGTCACATTTTGAAAACGACCCTCTCGCAAATTTTCAGAGCGAATGTGTGCGGCGCTAGGGTGAGAGCTACATTTTGAAAACGACCCGCCCTCCATCTGTGAAACCGTTGCCACCTGTTAAGTTTCAGAGTCATAAATGGTGAGGAAGTCTCATGCGAAACGCCTGGCCCGCCCTAAAAGCTTGCCTCGGTGTGCGACAGGGAGAAATTCATTATAAGGGAAAGGAGTGGAGGAGGATAAGGACGATGAGGAGCAGGAGGAGCAGGAGGGATGATGATGTTGTTGATGATGATGGTGACGATCATGATAGTGGTGTTGGTGTTGGTGGTGGTGGTGGTGACGATGATGATGACGACGGTGGTAGTGATGATGCTGCTGATGCTTATAAGCACTTCGGCTATGATGATGCTGATGATGCTGATGATGATGATGATGCCTATGACGATGATGATGGTGATGATGATAAGTATGACGGTGATGTTGATGCTGATGCTGCTGACGATGATGTTGCTGCTGACGATGATAGTAATGGTGATGGTGAATATGATGATGCTGCTGATGGTGCTGATGATGAGCCTGATGATGACGATTATACTGATGCTGCAGATGATGATGCGGTCGGTCATGTTGAGTATGATGCTGATGATGATGCTGGTGATGCTGATGACGATGACGTTGTTGTTGATGGTGGTGGTTATGCTGCTGCTGCTGATGACGATGATGATGATGCGGGGCAGGAGAGATAAGGACGATGCTGTTGATGATGATGTTGACGATGCTGATAGTGGTGTTGGTGTTGTTGGTGGTGATTATGATGATGGTGGTGTTAGTGATGACGATGCTAATGCTGATAAGCACTTCGGTTATGATGATGCCGATGATGATGATGATGATGCGCATGAGCATGCTGCTGCTGCTGCTGATGATGATGATGACGTTGTTGATGCTGATGATGATGCTAACGATGCTGCTGCTGATGATGCTGCTGATGCTGATGATGATGCTGATGCTGATGCTCATGATGCTGATGATGATGATGCTGATGATGATGCTGATGATGCTGATTATGATTATGATGATGATGATGATGCTGATGACTAGGATGATGGTGCTGCTGATGATGCTGTTGATGATGATGATGATGATGATGATGATGATGATAATGATAATGATGATGATGATGATGATGATGATGATGATGATGATAACGATGATGACGATGATGATGCTGTGGATGATGATGCCGACGATAATGATGCTGATTGTGATGATGGTGCTGATGATGATGCTGATGCAGATGCTGACGCTAATGGTGATGATGATGATGCTGATGATGCTGCTGCTGCTGATGATGATGCTGATGCTGTTGATGATGCTAATGATGATGATTCTGATGATGATGGTGGTGATGGTGGTGATGATGATGCTGATGATGATGCTTATGATGATGATTCTGATGATGATGATGATGCTGATGCTGATGATGATGATAATGATGACGATGATGATGATGATGATGATGATGATGATGATGATGATGACGATGATGATGCTGATGATGATGATGATGATGAGGATGAGGATGAGGATGAGGATGAGGATGATGATGATGATGATGATGATGATGATGATGATGATGATGATGATGATGAGAGGAGGAGGAGGAGGAGGAGGAGGAGGAGGAGATGATGATGATGATGATGATGATGATGATGATGATGATGATGATGATGATGATGATGATGATGAGGAGGAGGAGGAGGAGGAGGAGGAGGAGGAGGAGGAGGAGGCGTAGGAGGAGGCGTAGGAGGAGGCGGAGGAGGAGTAGGATGAGAAGAAGGATGATGATGATGATGATGATGAGGAGGAGGAGGAGGAGGAGGAGGAGGAGGAGGAGGAGGAGGACTCCTCTTGCTCCTCCTTTTCCTCTTCTCCTTTTCCTCTTCCTTTTCCTTCTTTTCCTCTCCCTCCTTCCCCCCCTCCCCTCCCCCTCCTCCCTTTCCTCCTTCCATCTTCCTCGTCGCCCTCCCTCCCTTCCGGAATCGCGCCCCCAACCCTCATAGCGCACCCCTTCTTGTCCCCCAGGCGGATCGGCCTTGGCGACGAGGGGCCGCCTGAAGGCCTAGAAGGCCTCGCTCGCTGCCGCCGGAGACTCCGAAGGCCTCGAAGGCGCCGCCCCCAAGGCCTTTCCGAAGGCCTTCTGGAAGGCCTCCTCGGAGGCCTCGAAGGCCTCTTTGTTGTCGTCGCCGTCGCCACCGCCGCCGTCGTCGTTGTCGTCGCCGTCGTCGTCGTTGTCGTCGTTGTCGCCGCGCACGTCGACCGCCCCCCGTGGCGCCTGGCCGCTCGCGAGGAGCACCGGCAGGGACGGGATAGACTACGTGACCTACGTGCTGGACCGCCTCGGGGCCCCGCAGGAGGCCGCGTGCCGTCGCCGCCGCCGCCGCCGCCGCCGCCGCCGCCGCCGCCGCCGCCGCCGCCGCCGCCGTCGTCGTCGTCGTCGTCGTCGTCGTCGTCGTCGTCGTCGTCGTCGTCGTCGTCGTCGTCGTCGTCGTCGTCGTCGTCGTCGTCGTCGCTGTCGTCGTCGTCGTCAAGCGTTCGAGGTTCGGGGGTCGAGGTTCGGGGTTTGCGCTCTTTGCAGATTTGTCGAGGGGTGCAGGAGCGGAGCGGATGCACGGAGTCACATGACGCTCACGTGCCCATGGCCATTTTGGTCTCGAGCACCGCTCCCGATCTCACCCCCCGTGCTCTCGGTCACCCAATGTTTCCTTCCTGCCCAGGCTTCGCCGCAGCATCTGGGGCGATGAGCTGACCCGGCGACGGTTCCGCGGCTGCGGCGGCCTCGGCGTTGGAGGGTGTTCTGGACGGCTCTGCGTCCGAGCTCGCGCCCTCGGAGCGGCCGCGGCCAGGGTTTGCCGGTCGCGACGACGACAGCTGGAGGTCGGAGATCGGGGAGGTTATTGGACCTCCCCGATCTCCGAGGCAGGCGAAGAGCAGGACCCGGCCACAGGTTGGGGATCGAAGGGGGCAGGGGCCTCTGCGATCCCCAGGTTTCCACTGGTGCTGCAGCGCCTGCCAGGCTGCTGCGACAGTGGCGTTGGCTGCAGGTGGTCGGAGCTCCGGCTGTGGGGCTGCTCGTGAGGAGTGGCTCTGCCAGCCCGCTGCAAGAGAGGCGGCCTGGAGCTCGCCGCGCTGCCCTGGTGGCCGCTCCCACGGGGGTTCGGGCGGGGAGCGCGATAGGAGGGGATCCCCCCTCCGTGCTCTCCCGCCCTGGCCTGGGGGCTCGTTCAAGGTTGAAACATTCGCGGTGTCAGGAATCAGCGCTGGGGGCGCGAATCCGCTGTAGCTCGGCGTGCCTGCCTGCCTGCTGCACGAGTGGAGCAGCTCGGAGGCCGCCGCGCGGTCCGTGGAGTTGCCGGGCGAGCTCTCCGCTATGTTGGCGGCCGCTCCCATCGGGGTTCGGGCGGGGAGTGCGATAGGAGGGGATCCCCCCTCCGTGCTCTCCCGCCCTGGCGCGGGGGCTCGTTCAAGGTTGAACGGTCCACGCGGTGTCAGGGACCCACGCTGATGTCGCGAACCCGCCGTCTCTGGGCGTGCCTGCCTCGTGCAAGTGGGGCGGCCTGGAGCTCGACACGCTGTCCGTTGAGCCCTTGGGCACCTCAGCAGCGCGCGTGAACCTGCCAGCCTGCCGCGGGTGGAGCAGCTCGGAGACCGCCGCGCTCATAGCGCCCACGTGTTGCACGAGCGACGACCCAGGGGCGTTGCGTGGGCCGCGGAGCCGTTTGCCGAGCTCGCCGTGTTGCTGCGAAAGGGGGCGGCCCAGAGATTGGCGCGCGGGCCGTGAGGCCGTTGGCCAAGCTCGCCGTGCCGTGATGGGCGGCTGGAACGTCGCCGCACAGGCTGGTTGCGTGAGCGACGCGCCTGGGGGCCGCCGCGCGGATCGTGGAGCTGCTGGCCGCTGGTTTGCTGCGTGACGGGCAGCGCCTCGCAGGGCGAGGAGCCGTTGGCTGGGCTCGCCGAAGCCTTGTTTGCATGCCGCGTCAGGTGCGGCCCAGAGATCACCGCGTGGGCCTTGGAGCTGCTGGCCAGGGTCGCCCCGCTTGCCTGCTGCGTGTGGGGTGCCCTGGAGGTTTCCACGGGTCGTGGAGCTGCAGGCTGAGCCGCCGTGCTGGCAGCTTGCTGCGAGGTCGCCGCGTGGGCCGTGAAGCCGCTGTTCGAGCTCGGCGCGCTGGCTTGCTGCGTGAGCGACGGCCTGGACGTCGCCGCGCGGACCGTTGATTTGCCTGCCGAGTTCGCCGTACCAGCCTGCTGGCCTGCTGCTTGAGCGGCGGCCCGGAGGTCGCCGCGCTGGCCGCGGTGTTGCTGGCCGAGCTCGCTGTGCATATTATTTGTGAGAGGAGCGGCGTCGCGCAGGCTGTGGAGCCGCCGCTGGCCAAGCCCGCCTTCCTGGCCTGCATCCTGAGGGGCGGCCCTGCCCCGCGCGAGCCGTGCATATGATGGCCGAGCTCACCCCGCGGGCCAGTTGCGTGAATGGCGGCCTGGGCGTCGCCGCGCGGGCCGCGGAAGTGCTAACCGAGCTTAGCTTGCCAGCCTGCTGCGTAAGACGCGGCCCGGATGTCACCGCGCGGACTGCGGAGCCGCTTGCCGAGCTCGCCGTCTTGCTGCGTGAGGGGCGGCCCAGAGGTCGCCACGCGGGCCGCGCGGCCGTTGGTCAAGTTCACCGTGCCGTGATGGGCGGCTGTGGCGTCGCCGCGCGGGCCACGCGGTGCTGCTGGCCGAGCTCGCCGTGCTTGCCTGCTGGGGAAGGGCGGCCTGGAGGTCGTCGCGCGGGCCGTGGAGATGCTGGGCTGAGCTCGCCGCGCCCGCCCGCGTCGCGAGATGCGGCCCAGAGATCGCCGCGCGGGTCGCGAAGCCGCTGGCCCAGCTCCCCAGGCCGGCCTGCTGCCCAGAGGTCGCCGCTCGGGCCGCGGTGCTCTGGCCGAGCTCGGCCTGCTGGCCGGAATCGTGGAGGGGTGGCCGGAGGTCGCCGCGCGGGCCGCGGTCGAGCTGCTTGCCGAGCTCGGCGTGCCAGCCTGCCGCGGGAGAATCGACCCAAAAGTCGCCCCCTGGGGGCCCTTATCCCTAACTCCCTCCCCCCACCTCTTCCACTCCCGCAATGAGGTCAGGATGAGGGGGGACGGGCCTGGCTTGCCACGAGTGGAGATCGGCGTATCTCGCCAGGCGCGTCCCCGGCTCGTCCGGCCATCGGGGGACATCGGCGCCTCTGACCAGCTGCCGGCTCCCCGGCTTGGCTGGCCTATAGCTCCGCGTTCATGTGCCTCCCCGGCTCGAAGCCATAGGGGGGGACCGGGATCGGCGCATCCCGTCACGATCGTCGGGTGTCTGCCGGCTCGAACCTCCAGCCGGCGGGGCCTGGCGGTGCGCGGGTTTCCCCATCGTGCGCCTCCGCTGGCCACGTTGTGACCTGGCTCCGCTCGCCGCAACCCGTTTGCAACGGGATCGCGGGGCATTGTTGGCGGCCGCTCCCATGGGGACTCAGGCGGGGGGCGCGATAAGGGGGGGATCTCCCCTCCGCGCTTGCCCGCCCAGACCTGGGGGCGAGGGAGAGGGTGCGCTCCGCGTCGGAGGTGGCCGCGCTTCGCGAGGCTTCCAGAGGCAAAGGGTGATTCCCTCTTGCTCCGCCGCGGCGCGCTTCGGGCCCGGCGCATTCAGGGGCAGGGGCACAGCTAAAGGCTCCATGTCATGCGATGGGGCCTTGGCCCAGTCGGTGTCGGCAGCTGCTGGCGGCCAGGGTGCCCCAGTCCGCAGGGCGTTGCCAGGTCTCCGCCATGGCGCGCCCAGCAGACGCCGATATTCCCGCGGGTCCTTGCCTGACTTGCGGGAGGGGCGGGCGCGTTTGCCTTCGTGGGGCTTCCGGAGCTGCGGGATGATCCGCTTTTGCCCTCCGCCTCAGCGCACCGAACGAGGGGGGGGCGGGCTCCGCGCCAAAGGTGGCCGCGCTTCTTGGGGCTTCGGGGATCTTCCCGGCCCTCCGCCCCAGCGCGCCGGGCGAGGGAGGGGGCGCGCTCCGCGCCAGAGGTGGCCGTGCTTCCTGGGGCTTCGGGGGTGCAGGGCGATCTCCCCCGGCCCGCCGCCCCAGCGCGCCTCGGGCCCAGCGCGTGCCCCCTGCCGCACAAAGGGATCTTCGCCTAGCGCTCCCGTGGGGGTTCGGGCGGGGAGCGCGATGGGGGGGGTCTCCCTTGCGTGCTTTCCCGCCGAGGCCCGGGGGCGAGGGGGGGGGGGCGCGTGGCGCCTCGCGGGGCTTCCGGAGGTGCAGCGCGTTCTCGTTGCGCGAGGCCTTCGTGGCGAAGCTGGGGGAAGCCAGGCGCGCCTATGCGATGGCCGCAGGCGTCGCCCACGACAGGCGTCGCCCACAGGGTCCGGGACGGATCGACGCGCATCGGGCTTTCGGCATCTCAGACCACAGGAGGTTCGAGGCCGCCGGGAGTCCGTGCAAGCTCTTGCGCGAGAAGTGCATGCCCAGTGATAGAGCGACAGCGAAAGCAGCTCCAGCTCGTAGCGCGGCCGCCAGTGCGGAGCAGGGCACTTCGGCAGAGGGGGGGCATCGGTGCCAGCATGGGCCCAGGCATGCACGAGGCGCTGGCACGGCCTCCGCCCTCGCCCGCGCGGGAGTCCGCAGCGCATTCCGCATGGGAAAAAGAGAGCATGCTCATGTGGAAGGGGTGCAGGAGCGGAGCGGATGCACGGAGTCGCAGGACGCTCGCGTGCCCATGGCCATTTTGGTCTCGAGCACCGCTCCCGATCTCACCCCCCGTGCTCTCGGTCACCCAGTTTTTCCCCACCCGCCGCCCCGCTGCAGCCGTGGTGGCGCAGCCTCTGATTTTTAGAGTTTAGTCGGCTCAGGAGGGGGCGGGGCTTAAGGGGGGCATTGGTGCCAGCGTGGGCCCAGGCGTGCGCGCGGGCGCTGGCACGGCCTCCGCCCTCGCCCGCGCGGGAGTCTGCAGAGCGTTCCGCATGGGAAAAAGAGAGCACGCTCATGTGCCCAATTAGGCTTGCCTAATTAAGTGGTTGAAGGTTGGTGCCTCGGTGGGTTACTTAACCCGTTGCTCGGAGGTTCCTCGGGTTCCTTGGGGTTCTCGAGTTCCCCGCCCCCGGTGCTTCGGAGGCTGCTATGCCCGCTGCTCTGAGGTTTCTCTGGTTCCTGCAATGCCGAGCAGTTCCAAGCAATGCCAAGCGATGCCAAACAGTGCCAAGCAATGCCAAGAAATGCCAAACATTACCACGCAATGCCAAGCGCTGCGAAGCAATGCCAACCAATGCCAAGCACTGCGAAGCAATGCCAAGCACTGCCAAACACAGCCAAACACAGCCGAGCAATGCCAAGCAATGCCAAGCAATGCCAAGCAATGCCGAGCACAGCCCAGCAATGCCCAGCAATGCCACGCCATGCCAACCACTGCCGAGCAATGCCAAGCACTGCCAACCAACGCTAAGCAATGCCAATCAATGCCAAGCAATGCAACGCAATGCCAAGCAATGCCAAGCACTGCCCAGCAATGCCACTACACGCCAAGCAATGAGAAGCACTGCCCAGCACTGCCAGGCCATGTTAAGCAATGCCAAGCACTGCCAAACCATCCCAAACCATGCCAAGCCATGCCAGTAAACGCCAAGCACTGCCATGCAGTGCCAAGCACTGCTCAGCAATGCCACAGCATGCCAAGCAATGCCACGCATTACCAAGCAATGCCACACAATGCCAAGCAATGTTAAGCAATGCCAAGCTATGCCAAGTAATGTCACGCAATGCCGACCACTGCCTAGCAATGCACAGGAATGCCATGCCGTGCCAAGCACTGCCAGTCACTGCCAATCAATGCCAAGCAGTTGCAAGCAATGCCAAGCAATGCCAGGGGATGCCAAGCACTGCCAAGCAATTCCCGTCCACGCCAAGCAATGCCAAGAAATGCAAATAAACACCAAGCAACTTCAAGCAATGCTAAGCAATGCCATGCAATACCAAGCGTTGCCAAGCGATGCCACGCCGTGCCAATGAACGCCGAGCACTGCAAGGCACTGCCAAGCACTGCCATGCAATGCCAAGCAAGTCACGCATTGCTAAGCAATGCCAACCAATGCCAAGCAACGCCAAGCATTGCCAAGCCATGCAAGCCAATGCCCAGCAATGCCCAGCAATGCCACGACATGCCAAGCACTGCCAAGCCATGTTAAGCAATGTCAATGAACGCCAAACACTGTCAAGCAATGCCAAGCATTGCCAAGCACTGCCAAGCAATGCCAAGCAGCGCCCAGCCTCGCCAAGCAATGCCAGCCACTGCCAAGCATTGCCAAGCAATGCCAAGCATTGCCAAACAATGCCAAACAACGCCCAGCAATGCCATGTCATGCCACTCAATGCCAATAAACGCCAAGCAATTCCAAGCAACGCCAAGCAATGCCAAGCAATGCTGCGCAATGTCGAGCACTGTCGGATAATGCCAATCAATGCCGAGCATTGCCAAGCAATGCCAAACCATGCCAATAAGCGGCAATCACTGCCAAGCGCTGCCAAGCAATGGCAAACACCCCCAAGAAATGCCAAGCACTGCCAAGCAATGCCAAGCTATGCTGAGCACTGCCCAGCCATGCCAAGCCATGCCAAACAATGCTAAGCAATGCCAAACAATGCCAACCAATGCCAAGCAATGCCAAGCAATGCCGAGCCATGCCAAGCAATGCAGCGCCATGTCAAGCAATGCCAAGCACCGCCAAGCACTGCCAAACCATGCGAAGCAATGTCAAGCAGTGCCACGCAATGCCAAGCAATGCCAAGCATTGCCAAGCAATGCCAAGCAATGCCCAGCAATGCCAAGCCATGCCAACCAATGCCAACAAACGCCAAGCAATTCCAAGCAATGCCAAACAATGCCAAGCAACACTACGCAATGTCGAGCACTGCCGAACAATGCCAATCAACGCCAAGCAATGCCAAGCAATGCCAAGCACAGCCAAGCAATGTCAAGCAATGCCAAGCCGTGCCAAGCACCGCCAAGCACTGCCAAGCAATGCCGAGCACTGCCCAGCAATGCCCAGCAATGCCAAGCCATGCCAAGCAATGCTAATAAACGCCAAACAATGCCAAGAAATGCCAAGCACTGCCAACCAATGCAAGCAATGCCAAGCAGCGCCAAGCCTCGCCAAGCAATGCCAATCACTGCCAAGCAATGCCAAACAATGCCACGCAATGCCAAGCAATGCCAAGCAATGCCAAGCCATGCTAAGCAATGCCAAGGAACGCCGAGCACTGCCAAAGAATGCCAAGCACTGCCGCGCAATGCCAAGCAACGCCAATAAACGCCAGGCAATGCCAAGCAATGCCAAGCAATGCCAAGCAATGCCAAGCAATGCCAAGCACTGCCGAGCACAGCACAGCAATGCCAAGCATTGCCAAGAAATGCCAAGCATTGCCTAGCAGTGCCGAGCAATGCCCAGCAATGCCAAGCACTGCCAAGCAATGCCAAGCAACGCTAAGCAATGCCACGCAAGGCTAAGCCTTGCCAAGCAATGCCAATCAATGGCCACCAATGCCGAGCACTGGCCAAACAATGCCAAGCCATGTCAAGCAATGCCAAGCAATGCCAGGTAATGCCCAGCAATGCCAAACAATGCCAAGTAATGCCAAGCACAGCCAAGCAATGCCAAGCATCGCCAAGCAATGCAAACACATACCAAGGAATGCCAAGCAATGCCAAGTTGTACCAAGCAGTGCCACGCAATGCCAAACAGTGCCAAGCAATGCCAAGCATTGCCAAGCAATCTCAAGTAATGCCAAGCAATGTCAAGCATTGCCTAGCAGTGCCAAGCAATGTAAAGCAATACCAAGCAATGCCAAGCAATACCAAGCAGTGCCAAGCAGTGCCAAGCAATGCCAAGCGGTGCAGCCATGGCAAGCCATGCGAAGCCATGTCAATAACCGCCAAACACTGCCAGTCACTGCCAAGCCATGCCAAGCAGTGCCAAGCAGTGCCGAGCAATGCCAAGCAGTGCCAAGCAATGCCAAGCAATGCCAAGCAATGCAAAGCAATACTAAGCAGTGCCAAGCAATGCCAAGCCATGCCAAGCAATGCCAAGCAATGGCAAGCAATGCCTCAGCACTGCCCAGCAATGCCCAGCAATGCCACGCCACGCCAAACAATGCGAACACACGCCAAACGATCAAGCGATGCAAAGCAACACCAAGCAATGCCATGCAATACCAAGCACTGCCAAGCAGTGCCAATAATGGCCAAGCAATGCCAAGCAATGCCAAGCAATGCCGAGGACTGCGCCCATGCAACAGGAATGTTTTCCCTAATTTGCGTCGCGCTGTGTTTATTTTGTTTTATGGTGACCTCTCGGCGCCACGGCTGGGCCCCCGCCGGGGCGGAACGTACGCCACGAGAGGGCCAGAGGCCGGTTTATTCTGACACCGGCCTTTTCGCCGACCTCTGCTCTACATGGATGCATTTCTTTTGGTGTTCGTTTTCGTAGAAGTTCCTGGAGCTGTGCGACCGTTTGAGAAACCTACAGCTGCGTTCAGAAAAGGGGCCTTGTTAAAATTCGTCTTGGATGCCTCTTGAGGGCCCCCTTGGAGCTTTTGGGCCTTCTTGGGGTCTTATTGGACCCTCTGGGCCTGTCTTGGTGATGCCGAGTCTTGGGGGGGTCCTTGGGGGCTCTCTTGGGCCATCTTGGCCCTTTCCTGAGTCTTTCTGGGGCTCTCTTTTGGCGGGCGATCATCGTGCAACGGTGCTCACGGGCACGAAACGGCGGGGCGGGCGCCTCCACCCCAGCACCCACGCTTGGGCGAAAGACGGGGCGCCGCGCGGAGCACAGCGGCGCGCGCATCGTCGCGGTGTAATGCGCCGAGAAGATTGGCGACCGCGCCAAGGTTTTGTGCCGTCTTTGGCTCTTTATGAAGGCCATCTCGGGACCATGTTAGAGCCTTGGGCGTTCTTTGGTTGTTTCAGGTCCCGCTTTTGCGCTTCCAGAGCCATCTTACGCACAAGTATCTAGTGGCGTTCGGCCCACCCCGCCGCCGTGCTTGGGTTGTCAGTCAAAGGCCTCTGGGAAGCCTGTAGGGATTTTGGGAGGCCTTTCGGGAGTCTGCTGGAGATTGTGGGGGAGTCGGACCCTCCTCGTCTTTTCGTTTTGGTCGTCTACCCGTGGACTCGCGCCAGGGCGTTTCGTGCAAACACAGCGTGCCCACGAAAAGAGAGAAAAAGCGAGAGAGAGAGAGAGAGACATACATAGAAAGAGAGAGAAAGAGAGAGAGAGAGAGAGACAGAGAGAGAGAGAGAGAACGAAAATGACAGAGACCCTCCTCCTCCTCCTCTTCCTCCTCCTCCTCCTCCTCCTCTTCTCTCTCTCTCTCTCCTCCTTTCTCCCTCCTCCTCCTCCTCCTCCTCCTCCTGTTCCTCCTCCTCCTATCTTCTGCCCCACCCCCCTCTGAGGGGAAAGCTCTGCAGCAGATCCGCCGTCGTCCCCCCCCCCCGCCGCCCCGCCCCCCCGCCAGAGGGACACTACTCGGGCTGCCCTCCCTCGCCCCGCTCGGCCCCGCCCCCGCCCCCCGGCTCGACGGCGGCCGCCCCCGCGTTGGCCCCCCTGGCGCCGGAGAGGTCGCCAAGTGCTTGAAGGACTTCGTGAAGATGCTGCTCCTGCTGATGCTCACTAGGACTGACTGCTCGCTCGCCAGTCGTCGTCGCCGCCGTCGTCGTCGTCGGCGGCGGCGGCGTCGTCGTCGTCGTCGGCGTCGGGGTCGTCGTCGGGGTCGGCGTCGTCGTCGTCGTCGTCGTCGTCGGCGGCGTCGTCGTCGGGGTCGGCGTCGTCGTCGTCGTCGTCGGC